ACAGACGAACACACACAAACATACACACACAGACAGGGTCGTCGCAATATGCGTTTTTGCAATTTGTATGTAAACAAAAACGTATAAAAACGGAAACCTTGTTGGAGCCCTTGTTCATCAAAAAATCTAAATATATAAATGAACTAAATGTTGAGTACTGCTGTTGAGTATTTTTCATAACCACCTGGACGGAATTTCACTTACAAGCGGAATTAAGACCGTACATGAAAGTAGAATATCCCTGCAAAGTTTCAGCCTCGTACTTTATCCGGTAAGCGAAATAGCTACTTAGCTACGAATATCTTTGAAGTGCCCTAACTCATGGCGCAAGTGCAAATCGGAACTCACTTTAGGTATACGATTTTCCATACGGACAATAAATATTCTAACAAAAATTGCAGCTACTTTTTTCCGGCAAGTTTTCGAGTTAGCACAATACCAAGTTGCAAACTATGACGTGATCGTACTCGCTTTACAAGCGTGTGCGACTGCTGAATTTGAAGTTTCTGGCCTGCACAAGCACATAGAATACCCCTCCAACTTTGAGCTTTCTATCTTACCCTGGTTCCCGAAATAGCTTTTCATCAAAGAAATCTGCGTATTTTTTTCGGAGATCAGTACGCGGGATCTAGGCGCGTGCGAGCGAAAATTTTAAAACAGAAGGATGACAGATACATGGGGTAGGAGCATGTACCCAAAATTTCAGCCTCCCAGTTTTCCTGGTTGCTGAGATGAAAATGGGTGACATATTCCACTCGCTTCCGAATAAACACGCAAGGGCGACTATGCGTTTTGGCTCGCTATAGCAGCGCTACAGCGCTGATACAGCGCTGCACAAAAAAACGCTTAAAAAAATAATTATATGCCTTAAAACATTTTATAACATCACAAGAATTCGCACGCCTTGATATCGTTTAAACGGTACAACCAATCGCTAGCGCCAGCTTCTCTTTTCGCATATAGGATATGTGAGGATTAACGGGGCAAAATGAAAAGATGAGGCGATTTGGTGCTGGGGCTGAGCTAGCCAGTAGCAATATATTAAAATCAAAAGTAAAAATTCCCTTCTTGTAGATTCTTTATGAATGGTAGAGGCATTCACATGCATTCCAAGAAATAACAAATAAAAAGCAGCAACTATCCGTTGACAGGCCTGTGGATGGCTTGCCTCCTTTGAAAGTTGTTTAAAATTAAGCTGATGAGGGATTTGATTCCTCGATATTTGCCATTAGCAATTTGCTATCGAAAAAAATGGGAGAATCGTAGAGGGATTGGTTGTTGAGCAGTGGGGTTGAACCCTCGACCTATTTGCATGACAGCGGTGCTTACTACTTTACAGCGTTGACTAAAAAGCAAAGGACGGTAAATCAGGAAAGTGTCACATGTTTTTCCTTTGAATTTACCAGCCATTCTGAGCAGAACAAACGAACAGAGCAAACTAACTAACAGTGGAAGCTTTATTCGTCTTGCGAATTTGCAAAATTTTGATATAAACGATCACATAAAGCACTATGCTTGCAGCCGATGTAAAAATCCCGGTTATCAGTGGCCACTGAATGAAAAATGATGCCTGAATTTTCGAACTCCTGCAATCAATTGATACCACAAATAAGTACCATATGTTTTTGCTAGCTGTTTACGCATTTTTCTGCCTCACTAAAAATTAAGAGGTTCTTCAGACAGATTTTCCGATGGTGCTTCTTCATATTTTGGTACTACATTTCAAATGAATGAATTACTATATGTGGTATTTTGATTTTGAAACTATCGAGCTGCATCTTTTTTTTCAGACCTTTAATTACAAATTATCTTGTCGGAAAAATGTCTCAGCGAGGTCTAGAATATTCTATTTAGGAAGGCACCTCACTGTAGTTTACGAACGGCAACTCGAGACGGGTAAATTACCTCCGTAACAAACATTTCTGTCGGGAGAATCGTTGTACCGTCAAAAGGCGAACGAATTTCAGAATTCTAATTGAGCATTGGTCAGAGCAGTTGGAGGAGTTATTAGTTCCGGAAATCGAAAATCATTGGCAGCGCACACTGGGGGGGGCCCTCGTGCAATCATGCGTTTTTGCAGTGTTTCGTGCTGTAATAAGATTACTCGAAATTCCGCTAGCTAAAAACCTCTTGTACATACTGGTCCTCGAATTTCGGGAACTTAATTATTCACGCTGTAGTTGGACAGGGAACATTCCCTTGAAATTCCAGGTTTCCAGCTTTCTTAGTCCCTGAGTTATCCAAATTGCTGACAAAAAATTTCACGGGGCTGTGCGTAGCCACCACGCATAACGGGGGGCTGAATTTGAAAAATTCAAGTTGTAGATGAGTTGAGAACATTTCCTGACAGTTTCAGCCTCCCAGCTTCCCTGGTTCTGAAGTTATTCATTTTCCCGCCAAAAATTTTCACGGGGCGTACGTGGCGACCACGCATAACGGCCATACATAACGGGGGGCTGAATTTGATAAATTGAAGTAGTAGATGAGTTGGGAATATTTCCTGAAAACTTCAGCCTCCCAGCTTTCTTGGTTTCCGAGCTAGCGACTTTCGCGCCAGGAACCCTCGGGGGCCGTATGCGGGAACCACGAACCCCCGAGGGCTGAATTTGAAATCTTTAAATTCTATAGGGACAGGGAACATAACCTCAAATTTTCAGCTTTCTAGCTTTTCTGGTTCCCGAGTTAGTGGGTTTCCCGCCAAAACATTAACCCTTAGTACGCGGGGCCTAGACGTGCTTGAGGGTTGGTGCCGCGGTCCGGGGTGGCACTTGGGTGGGGAAACCACTGGCAAAATTTCGGCGCCGGAGCTTGCTTGGGTGCTCAGCTGAAATATCTGGACAGACAGACGCACACACATAGCGGGGTCGTCACAATATGCGTTTTTGCATTTGCGTATTATGCAAAAACGCATAAATACACTGTGGACTGCAGCTTTTCAAAGTACCAAATTCAAACCAGGCTGGAACGCACCAGGCGGGCTGGTGCGATTATGCGTTTTTGCACTTCCCGTGCCGTAGCAAGATCGCAAGGAATCACAGTTGCTAAACCTGTTACATACTGGCCTTCGAAGTTCGGGAAGTTAATTGTGCAACTATGTGGTATGTCAGTTGTAGATGCCGGCTTCAGTGACCCGGCAAATGGAAAGGTGCTGGTCCGCAAAAAAGACCACACTAGAAGAGTTAAATTTGAAATCTTTTAGTAGCACATAAGTAGGGAACATTTCCTTAAAATTAAAGCCTTCAGCTTGTCTCTCTCCCGAATTGGCAGTTTTCCCACCAAAATTTTCACGTGTCCGTGCGTGAGTACCAGATGGCTTTAAGGAGCTGAATTTAAAATCTTTTGGTCGCACATGAGTAGGGAACATTCCCCCAAAGTTTCAGCTTTCTGGCTTCTCTCGTTCCCGGATTAGTAATTGTCGCGCGAAAATTTCCACGTGCCCCACGTGGTTCCCGAGTGCATCTGAACACCTGATTTTGGTCGCACATGTGTAGGAAAGATTCCCCTAAAGTTTCAGCTTTCTAGCTTTACGCGTCCTCAAGTTGATAGTTTTCGAGCCAAAAATTTTCACGTGCCCGCACGTGAGCCCCGGGCTGTCTTAAGGGGCTGTGTTTGAAAACTTTTGGCCGCGCATGGGTAGGGAACATTCCCTCAAGGTTTTAGCTTTCTAGCT